GCTGGCCCTCCTGCAGGTGCGGCGGGCTGGGGCTGGTGCTGGCCAGCGCAGGCTTCGGCAGGCTGACAGCGCCCATCATCGAGCTGCACAACCAGAAAGGCTACTTCCTGCACCACATCATCTTCGCCTGCTGCACGCTCATCTGCATCATCTGCATCCTCCTGCTGCCCGAGAGCCGGAACCAGAGCCTACCCGAGAGCCTCTCGAACGGGGAGCACTACACGCGCCAGCCGCTCCTGCCGCACAAGAAGGCCGAGCAGCCGCTGCTGCTCACCCACGCGGAGCTCAAGGACTACTCGGGCCTCCACGACGCCGCGGCCGCGGGGGACGCGCTGCCCGACAGCGCCGCGGCCAATGGCGTGCGGTCCTGTGGCTCCGCGCGCGGCCTGCCCTGAGACCGGCCCGCGGGGTGGCTGCGCGCGGGGTCGCCGAGGGACCAGCCGTGTGGCTGCGAGCACACGTGGCTCCGCCGGGCACACGGGGCGCTGACGCCGGGGGAGCACAGGACCTTCGTTGGTGTGGGGGGAGTCTTTCCAGAACTCTAAGGATCACGTGAGGAAGCAGGCTCTTTGGAAATAAGACTTTCTTTTCTGCCATTAAATGTTTGTATTTATTTTGGTCATTTTTACGAGAAGCACTTTATTCCCTTTCCTCTCACTGATCTTGAAATAGAACCACGCCCTTCGAAAGAGAGACCCAGTCTCCCCGTGGGCAGCGGCCAGATGCCCCCGGCCGCAGGCTGTGCGCAGACACCACCCTGAGCAGCTCAGACTGAGCTGGCGCTGAAATGTAAATGATGAGGTGTCCGCCAGAGGCTGATAGTCTGAAAGTTTTTTATTTGTAGGGTCAGAGCTTCTATCTGGTCCATGCTTTGGGAGAAAGCAGCTCACGAATGTCATTAAAACCAGCTTAATCTTTCCTTCAAGATCATCCTTTTGTACTGAATGCTGGAAACTCTTTGGGGGAAAGCTTCAACATTTCACAACAAACATAAATGTTCGTGGCAGTGTCACCAGTTTTCTGACCCAAGTTTGCCTGGTTCAGTTCACGACAAATGCGCTGAGGTGTGAGGTGTTTAGCATTAATGCTTCCTTAGATCCGGCTCCTCCATCAGCTTTTCCCAGCACTACCTGAAAACATGGCTACTTTCTGAAGGGAAACCAGTGGGACAAGAACTGAAATAGAGGACTAAGGCAACCCCACAGAGGGTGAGGTGCGCTCCCAAAGACAGTGGCATGCACATCTGGAGCACACCACACAGCATCACCAGCTTGGATGACCATCAGCTCCCTCTGATTTCATGCTGAGACTACAAACCTGTGAGAGCCAATCCCCTTCATGCCTGCCTTTGCCTGCTTCCTGCTTCCTCCCACATCCCTCAGCACAGAGGTGGGGCTTGGGACAAGCAGTGGGATGCTCACAAGTTAGTCCAACTGACCTCCTGCCTCTCTAAAGCATCAAGACCAATTGAGAGGAAGCAATAACTCCCCAAAGTTCAACTCCTATCCCCAATAGCCAAGGGTTGTCATTGAGTTCACTGCTTGCCCCAGACAGTGCAGGCTTTCTCCACCTGAGGATGTTTCAGAGGGAGCTTGGAGGGCCTTCGCAAGGACACGTTGGGGGGAGAGGGAGAAACGAGCTTCATTGGCACAGGCAGGCGCCCCCTTGAGCAACATAGGCACCTGATTTTTCAGACAGCCTGGGTCCTTTCTAGAATTGTCCACCCCCCCCCCCCCCCCCCACTTTGTGACATTTGTCTTTGTCATGGGCTGTGTTTTTCCTAGGAAATCATAGTCTGGGGCCTGTGATGTAGGTGACCTCCAACTGACAGTTGCTAGAACTCAAAGGGCCTGAAAAGGGGTTGACTTAACTTCCCTTTCACCCCTTCTAGCTTTCTACCTGGCCTGTTTCTTACTGTCTCCGCCCACCACTCCCCTCTGCATCTGGTGTTCTTCAATAGAACTGGTGACTTGATTAAAAAAAAAAAAAAAAAAAAAAAAAAAAAAAAAAAACATGGTGAGGAGGTGAAACTTGTGTGTGTGATTCCAGTGACTAAACCGTACTTTCTGTCGAATCAACAGGGTCTGGGGTCTCCAGCCTCGTCCAAGGGCCACTGCTTAGGAAGGAAGGCCACCTGGCCAGTCTCCCTATTTCAAGCCCCGCTCATCCTCGCCTTCCCTCATCTCTTAGGTCACTTTTGTTCCATGTTTCCATGTGAGTCCATTCACCTTACTTTACAAAGGCCTTTCTTACAAATGTGCAGCCTCCGCGTGCCAAACTTGTCGAATACCTTCTGCCTTTCTTAGAGTACTTGCTACCAGCCACCTGACAGCAAGACCCATTAATCCAGGACATGACATATGCAGCCGCCAAGCACCTGAGCAGTTGAGGAAGGTGGGTGGGAGCCAGTGAGGTCCTGGGCCTGTACCTGGCCAGGTGTATGCCTGCATCACCCCAGCACCGGGGCACCTTGCAGTGCCCTTACTGTACTACGGAAGTGTTGTAGCATTCTCTCGCTGATCGCAGAGGCCTCTTTTAGAATGTGATGGAGCTGCAGAGTGCTGCGGGTAATCTGTAGGAAGGTGGAGGGAAGGCACAGCACTTACAAACTCCTATTCCTCTTCAGGGTTATGCCGAGCTCCTCTTCTGTTGCTGGGTTAGCTTAAAAATATCTGACGCTCTTAAGGAACACCTTTATCAAATGTAGCCAAAGCAGAAAAGCTTCCTTATGGGCTGAGCCCTGTGAAATCCCACGCCAAGTGGGCAAGGCGGCCAGGGCCCACTGAGCCTGATACACATCCAGCCCCGCCTTGCTCTGCATGGGAAGCCACCAGCTCCCCGGCACCTGGTGGTCAAGCTTGGACTCCTCAGTCCTGTTTCCTTTGTGGTCAGTAGGAAAACAGTTCACAGACACCCCCCATTTCAAGTCCACTTTCCCATCACCTCCTACCCACCCGGGGAGTCACCTCCAAGTGTGTGCTGCAGCCACTCTCCTCCACCAGCCACTCTTGCATCCTGCTATCCTCCTGGTGAGCTGTAACCCCTTTCAGTAAGTTATGCACAAATGTGAACGCCTGAGACAGGGCTGGACAGCTCTTCATCTGTTCTTTTCCAGAAGTCAATCATAACTCAGAGCAAGTACCCTAAGTACTAGCACTCAAGACAAATAAGGAAAAGTTCCAAGTGTTTTGTTTTCTAAAAGAGTATAATTACTTGCAACTAGAGGAAAGGGGCTGGTAAGTTGTTTTGGCCACAGAACAGAAAGTAAAAATGAACATCGTAGTGGAACTACTGCACTCAAACAATACCACTTCCTAGAGCCAAACAAGAAATGACTGAAGTGCCATTAAATGAATTGTGACCATCGCACCTCCCAGCCCCTAGGTGGCGCGCACGTGCTGGGGAAAGCCCATGCTTCACTTTCAAAGGATGCCTCGCTTTGCTGTAGCGTGTTTTGGAAAAGCAGCACAGTGTGTTCTGTCCAGTGGGGATATTCCCTCTGTCCTTTCTGCCACGCCAACAGTTGAGGTTCCTAGTCAGAACCGTGTTACTGCACATCCACCGGGCTCACTCTGGAGGTGCTCATTCATAGCACAAGCCTATCGAGTTCTGAACTGTGTTGTTCAAAGATAATGTCTGCATGATGTCACATCTGTTGTACCTTTGAGGAAAATTTGTATGTAAATGTACAAAAATAAAAATGTTGCCCCATTAACAAATTTCCTCTGGAATGTCTTCCCTACCTCATCTGATGGTATCCAATGAAGGGCATTTCATGACCATTGACTACAAGTAATAAAAACTCTTTATTCAGACCTTGCCGAGTCCCTGTTTTAGCGCCTCTGTGAACCGAGTCTTAACGCGGCCTGGGAAGGGTGGGTGGCCCTCATCTGCTTGCAGAGTCCTGGTCTTAAAGGCAGGCAGAGGCAGAGAGAGGATTACTAAACACAGACTGTTCATGCAGGGCCGGTCTAAACCACCTGAGAAATGGGGCCATCAGTAACTTTGAGAGTTCTTTTCTCTTGTGTATTGATGTCCTGCTAATCTGTGACCTGCAAGTTCCCAGAAAGGTCAAGAAATGATTATCTGACACTGTGATTCTATGAGGAAAGACTGATAACCAAAACCGTCTTCTCTAATGTAGTATTTTTTCACAAGAAAACAATGTTTCTTTAATAAAGTTTTATACCAAACTCTTCTCTCCATAGCCCTGATTTTGTGTTACTTACTCTTCCGAGAGAGGGTGTCTACTGAGCTCTCAGCTCCATGACACTCGCTGAAGCCTGGGAGGCTAGCACAGGAAGTCTGCTAAGGAGAAAAAATTTTAAACCCCATACCTACTGCTCTGAAATGCCTTTCTGTCCCAGCCACAAGGTCACCACCCCTGGCTGCTTACTACAGGCTCAATGCTTTTACCACTGCGTGAAGTGTTACAGCGCCCTAGAACAGTGGTCAGCAGACCTCGGCTCGTGAGCCACATGCAGCTCTCTGGCCCTTAGTGTTCTAATGCCACTTCTTCGAAATAGACTCGCACAGGCCGTGGTGTTTTGTAGAAGAGCCACACTAGAGGGGCCAAAGGGCGCATGTGGCACGAGAGCTGCCGTTGGCCAACCACGGCCCTAGACCATCAGCCTCCAATAACAAGACGGGTCCAGGTGGGCTCCAAGGATGGGGAGCGTGTTCCCCTGGCTTGCCTGTGCTGAGAAGCACTGGGAGCTTTTCAACCCAACGCCTGGGCCCCAGGCCATCACATCTCTGGCAGGGGAGGCATAGCAGCCTATGAAAACTCCCCCAGATTTGAATGTGAAGCCAAGGTTAGGAGCCACTGACCCAGGAAATATTGGCCATTGAGAAAAGGAGTGAAAAAAAAAACCAAGCAAAATGTGTAGCATTTGGTACTGAGTTGGGTGATCTTTCCTGAGCAGGAGGAGGCAAGGATGATTTCTTTCCCAGGTTCTTGTCCAGGTAGACTCAAAGAATGAAACCAGGACAAAAGGTGTTATATGAAAAGGTGGAAATTTATTGGAAACAAGTACAAACTCCCACATAGGGAGGGGTTCCCAAAGGGGTAGCCCACCAAGCTCCTTTTTCCTAAGGATTGTAAAGGCTGCAGTACTTTCTTGTTGCTGCCTTCCAACTGGTCACTATATCAGCTTCAAAGCTCAAAACCCACATGGGTCACCCTCTTTTTCTCCGTCAGATAGAATTCTCTATCTCCTGTGAAAATCTATTCTCTCCCATTTGTCAGCAATTCTCTATCCTCTGTGAAGTTTGTTTCCTTTCTCCCTATCTTCTGTGAATGGACGTCTTCCTTCCCCCTTATCCCGTGGCACCTTTCATTCTCCGTGAATAAATGCCTTTTGGCAGCTCCAAGCCCACAAACAACTGTCTTTCTCCCACATGGACCCCCTATTTCCTAAACTCCCTAAACTTGTCTATTTTACCCCTAAAAACTCCTTTCAGTACTAAAAAGATTAGAATCTACTTCAAGTGGTAGGCAGAAAAAGCTAAGGATTAAAGATGACCAAAACAGGTGCTTGGGACTTGGGACTTGGGGGGGGGGGGGGGGGGGGGGCAATGGTTAACAGGAGGGCAAGCATTTGGATCCACATATAGATAAAGCCATAACTGACATCTTCATTGCCACTGCACTTATAGTTTGCCAAGTATTTCTGTGCAGTTAATCCTGACCCTAACCCAGCAGAGTGGAGAACATTCCCATTTTGTAGGTGAGGAAACAGGGCCCAGAGGAGAGTGAGCCTTCACCAAGACCACAAGCCTAGTGAGCCGTGAGGAGTGAGGCTCCGACCCGGGCCCGAGGGTGAGCACAGCGGAGAGGCGTGCCAGGGAAGTTTATCATCTCCCATTGTACCTGGGAATGGACACAACAGAGTCACAACTAATTTAACCCTTTTGTCTTTTTAGCCCCCTTCCCAACAAAATTCCATCTGAACCCCTTTTCTCCATCATGAGCAGTCACAAGGCAACTATTGCCCATTTTGCTTTTCTTCTTCCAAAGCTTAATCAATGACAGCCTTTTGGCCCACAGACTGGTGAGGGAGAAGAAGGAAAATAAGTTAACCCTTTAAAGACAAGATGCAAACAGATTAACCTGGTGACAAATAGTGGAATTTAACTCATTTATTTAAATGTATATTGTACATAATATAGAAATCCTCACTTTCGCCTCAGCTAGAACTTTTCCGGAAATGCCTCCATTTCTTCCTTGATCCTGTTTTCTACAAGTAATGCGAAGTTATTGTCTGTATTTTGTAGGTTATAGCTGACAAACACCTGCTTGTTGGTCTTCCTGGCTAAAAAGAAAAAACACATTGACTCAGCCATGACTGAATATCTAGAGACCGTGTGCCTCGGGCAGACCTTACAGCTGAGAAATAGGGGGAAAGACAGTGGGCTTTCCTCAGGGAGAGAAGAAAGTTCTGATTTTTATGACCTGAAGCAGCTGCTGCAAATGCAGACTGAAGTCTCTGGGACCGTTCTAAGTCTCCAGAACAGTGGTTCTTAAAGTGTGGTCCCCACAGCAGCAGCATCCCCTGGGAACTCATCAGAGACACACATGCTCAGGCCCCACTCCCAGGCCAACGGGATCAGAAAGGCTGGGCTTGAGGCCAACACTGATGTCCACGAGACCTCTAGGGCAGCGTTTTTCAACCGCTGTTCCGCGGCACACTAGTGTGTCGCGAGATGTTGCCTGGTGTGCCCTAGGTGCAGACAAGACAAGAATTTTATAATTTTTCGCTATTTTGTTTACTTAATATTTCATAATAAAGTAATTATAAAATACTTTCTTTGTGTTTATTTGATTCCTATTCAAGAGAATTACTTTATATATAGTCAATATAGGCACAGAGTTAAATTTTTTAACATTTTCTAATGGTGGTGTGCCTCGTGATTTTTTTCATGAAACAAGTGTGCCTTTGCCCAAAAAAAGGTTGAAAAACACTGCTCTAGGGATCCGAATACTAATGTTTAAGAACCACTGTTTTTTTTTAAATTTCTTTATTAATTATGGTATCACATATTTGTCCTCATCCCCCCAATCCCACCCCCATCCTCCCCACTTATGCTCCCACCCCCCTACTGTCCTTGACCACTGGTTAGGCTTATATGCCTGCATACAAGTCCTTTGGTTGATCTCTCCTCTTTATCCCCACCCTGAGGTCCAACAGTCTGATCCATGCCTCCTTGTCTCTGGGTCTGTTCTTGTTCATCAGTCTATATTGTTCATCATTTCCCCTAGATGAGTGAGATCATGTCCTACTGGAAATATACTTATAAGAACCAAAAATGAGACAAGTAATAATGGTTATGCTGAAAGGCAAATGAATCAATCTGTAGTGAGTTTCTTTCTGAGCCAACAGTTCTTTTAAGACCCAATTTCAATGTCAAACAGTTCCTTATGTGTACATGTCAGCAATGATATTTCAGTTCTGGATGGTGGACAAATGGTGGTAATGCAGGTCCAACCCTCTCTGGTTTGGTCCTGGGCAAAGGAACCACTGTTTGTTTCACTTTTCAAAAAACACCAATAATCCTACATTTCTCCATTTCTGTGTGTGCCCATGCAGATACACACACACATGCATATTTATATGTGTGTGCAAACACACATACACACACAAATATCTAATTTTCAATTTGACGTTGGCTATGCTTTAGCCCCTTTCTGCAGAACCAATAATAATTAAGGTGTGCAGCTCCAACTGCAGAAATCAATATGAAAGATAAGACAAACATCCTGAGGACAGTCGGGCAGCAAGTCTAAATCAGCAAAATACTGTGACTGCACCAGAGCTGGGGCCTCCTCCCTCAGCCTCACACCACACACAGGGCAGGTGCGAACTCCTCCTCCCCACAGAGGCATGCACCCACCCTCCATCCCAAGGATTTCAGATGACCACGCCAATCCAGCATCAAAGGCAAAAAGGTGGTCAGCAGAGGTGAGACCCTCATTCAGAGGGCAGGAACTTCCCTGTCCACCAGAAGGGCTGCTCTGATCCAATCTCCCTATTTGCTAAGGCAGGGTCTTACAGGGACTACGACTGTGCACGCCACATCGTCTGCCCAGCAGACCCAGCCAGCGCTGCCCCCCAGAGCCACACAGGTAAGCGGGGGGAGGGGTTTCCATCCATACTGCAGCCTCCAACTCCAATGCTTCCAGGGTTGCCCTGAACTCTCTATCATCTCTTTTCTGACTTCTTTTCATCTTCCACAGAAGACACTGTTTGGGGCCTTGCTCTCTTCTCATTACTCCTAGACAAAGCCTCTAACACTTTACACAAACTACAAAAGAAAAATAACCCACCCTGGCCTGTGTTGTTCAGGGATTAGAGTATCAGCTAGGGCACCTAAGGGTCACGGGTTCAATTCCCAGTCAATGGCACAAACCTGGGTTGCAAGTTCTATCCCATGTGAGAGGCAACCAATCGAAGTGTGTCTCTCACATCGAAATCTTCCTCTCTCCCCCCCCTCCCTTTCACTTTCTAAAAAAGAAAAAATCCTCAGATGAAGATTAATAAAACAAAAAAATCAAAAGAACCCTAGTTTTTTGCATACAAACTACTATCAGCACCCCATCTCAAGGGCACATCTTCCTTTTTGGCACAAAAAACTTACAGCGCACCAAATGCACGCCCGCCACCCTGCACTGCCAGTCTGTCATTCACACTGTGGCGACCCACCGGTTTTCTGGCCCAGAGCTATGAACACCTTCATCTTCACTGTCTCAGGCAGGCACACAGAGGTGTGTGACATGAATGTAACCTCTTTTTTATTGTTTTTAAATATATTTTATTGATTTCTTACAGAGAGGAAGGGAGGATAGAGAGCTAGAAACACTGATGAGAAACATCGATCAGCTGCCTCCTGCACACCCCTTATGGGGGATGTGCCCTCAACTACGGTACATGCCCCTGACTGGAATGGAACCCGGGACCCTTCAGTCTGCAGGCCAATGCTCTACCCACTGAACCAAACCGGTCAGGGCTGAATGTTACTTCTTAAGCTCTGGCAATACACATGGAATGATCATGTCTTCAACTACTTTCACATGGTTCAGAAAAAACAATGACGTGAACAAAGGAACAGTAACAACTGGGAACCTGTGTGCGGGCTAAGTAGGAATGCTGGAGCTAAGCAGGAATGCTCTATATCTTTTCTTGCAACTTTTCTATAAATTTAAAATTACTTCCTAATACAAAGTTACCAAACAACTTACTAGTCAGGGTTCTCTAATTTCAGGCAAAAGAAAAGGTAGTGATGTTCCCACAATGCTGCTGCTGCTGCTGCCCCCGTGGCCTTGCCCTGTCCATGCACAGAACCGTGGGCGAGTCTAGAACGGCCTCTCCTCAGCCTGCCCCTGGCACCTGTGCCACCTGAACTGTGGGTGTTCGGTTTACGAGGGTGCCTTCCAGACTGACTTGTTTCCACTTTTCAGGGATTAAGTGGATAGAACTGTCAACACCACTAAAACACAGGGCTGGGCCCTACTCGCTGCACACGCCCTGCACCAGTACACGGACGCTATATCTGAGCCAGCTGGAAACACGGGTGACCATGAAGACTGAGAGACCATAGAGGCAGCCCTACTGTGCAAGGCCCGGGCACGGGTGACCACGCACACTGGCTGAGGCAGCACACATGCTGTCCTCACCCGGACTGCCTGGGTGCTTATAGGAAGTGTGTCTGCAGTGTAGGAGGGGGAAACCTTCAACTTCATGCTATAGCTTCACACCACCCTTCACCACACTGAACCTGACGGCATCCCGGGAGTGCAGGGCAGTCCCTCCTGCACAGGCTGCTTCCTGCTCCCCTGGATTCCCAGAGCCCAGGAGGCTCCTGCAGCACCGCCCACAGGCACAGGCGCCCTTCACGCTCGCCCGCACCAGAAGTAATGTGCTTACCGAAGGGCTCAAGCCACCCATCCTCATAAGCTTGGGCAGTAGCCAGGGCATGACCAGGGAGTCCACTAAGGCACAGGCTGATTTGGGACAGTGGTGGGACCACGTGATAGGGATGTGCCTCTTAAGAAGACAATACACCAAGGTCTAGGCTTACTCTGCCGTGATGAGTTGATTTATCTCTTGACATAAAGATTCACTTCTAAAGTGACTCGCCTCATGATTCCATCACACAGCGAGGCCCCATCTGGCCGCTCCTGCAGCCGCCATGGGTACGTACCTAAGCGCTGGGCAAGGCCAGTGGAGGTCGTGTCTGAAGTGTCTCCGAGGAGGGAGGTGGACACAGGGATGGAGTCCTGAAAGGAAAACAGAGAGTGCAATGCGGCTTCTCCGACAGCTGAACTTCTGTCGCTGCTGACTCTTCACACGGGCAACAGGGGGGGTCCTGAGAGGTCAGACACTTCCGCCGAGAGAAGGCCTCGCATCGGTGTCAGCAGCCAGGCGGCTGGCCCTCTACGCTCTGAGCTCACACAGCAAGAGAGATGAGGGGCAGCCGCTTGTTTCACACTAAGGGCCACATGGTTTAGTGCTGGGAATTCCAAAGCATGCTGATGGGCAACATCACAACCAAGATGGAAGCAAACAAGATCATTAAGGCCAGAGCTAAAAGGAAGCTTCGGAGTCTGGGTGCCGAGTGCCTGCAGGCGAGGGCCCTCACCCTGGCAGCCAGCGGCAGAGGAGGCAGGACACCTACCTCCTCCCTGATGGAGAACCACAGCTCCACTCCCCAAAGGGTGTCTGGCCTCTTCAGTGCACAAAGGCCCCGTGGCTCTGCAGAAGGGCATCAGCCATCAGTGTCCAAATAATGAAAATAAAAACTTCTGGATATATTTGGTCAATTCTCATTTCAGATAAAAAGCAATAAAACTAAAGATAAGTAAGTGTGGCTCCTTTGAAATCTAGAGGTAATCTTACTTCCAATTACAAAATGAAGTAATTCACCTTCCCGTTAAAAAGGCCTTGTTGAAAATGAAAAAAACCACTAACTTGTAATACGGCCAAAATTCCTTTCACTGTGAGCAGCGCAAAGACCAGAGACTGCTCCTTACCTCCTAAGGGTTCAAGTTACTTCAATACAAGACAGAATCTGTTTAGGTCTACAAAAGATGAAAGAATAAAAACATTCACTTCATGATTTTTCATGATACAAAAATGTGATCTTAATGAATTTGCAGTTTAGAGATTTCAAGTTCAACATTTTAACTATTATTAGTATTTACAGTTAAACCTCCTGAAAACAGAAAATCTGCCTTAACAGGGTGACCTTTTCTGATCAAAAACAAAACGAAAAACCCAGTTACCCTTTCCTCTACTTCTGAAATCACATTGTGTGAAGCTGGTCTTCCAGGTAGACACATGCCTACACGGAGGGCCACCTTCCACTCACCCAGGCGCATCCTAGTTCTCTGAGCACAAAGGGTTCCCCTCCCCATCTTCCCTGGTCCCAAGCCGCTTCCCTCCTGCCACTGGGGCCCTGCAGCTTCTCTTGGCATCACACAGACCTGCTCGCTGCAAGGCAGGCCAGCTGGATGAGTAAAAGCTGTATGGTTTTGTATTATACTACATAGTCTAGTCTTACTTACATGTGGGGATTTGGGGAAAAGGGAAGAGGGAGAGACTTCATAGACCATTTGAAGCCATCCCTGCTCATGGGCCAGTAAATGTTTTCTAAGGGCCAGATGGTAGGTAGACGATTTAGTTTTTACAAACTCTGCCCAAAGAGGGCATGAAAACGAAGGTGCCACCCCGCAGGGGCGATGTGACGGGGAGCAGAGGTCTCATGACGGAGCCCTCGGACACTCCAACTACTGAAGAGAGATGGAGCCCGCGGGACGGCGGGAGTGCCGAGGAGGGACCCGCCCGAGGTCCACGTGCTGGGCTGACCGCACACCGCACCCCTCCGGGTGGTGCTGGTGCGGACCGACCCTGTCCCCCGACATCACAGGAAGAGCTCCGAGAGCTCCCGCGGCCCCTGGAGCTCGGGGACCAGAGGGTCGCACCCGCGGTCTCCTCGGCGGAAACCGGGCGCGCGCCCTGAGGACCCCGGGCGCCAGCCCCCTCGTCGTCGCACCGGCCCAGCCCCGCCCCCGCCGCCCGGGGACCGCCCCCTCCGTGTCCCGAGCGCCCCTCTCCCCGCTCCCCCGGCCCCCCGCACTCACGTAGCGGCTGCACATGGCCACAGCCAGGTTGCGCAGGTGCGGCGTGGCCCCCACCCACAGGAAGAGCGAGTCCGTCAGCCGCATGACGTGGAAGTGCACCAGCTGCTCCCACAGCCTCGCGCTGAAGTTGTGCAGGGAGACGTCCCCGCCCGCGGCGGCCCGCGGACCCTCCATGCCGCCAGCCGCCAGGCCCGCCAGCCCGGACCCTTCCCGGCGGCGATGCCGGGCCCGCCAGACCCGAGCAGGCGAGCGCCGAGCGGCCGAGCGCGCCTCGGCTCTCCAGACCGGGAAGTGGGCGGGGCCTGGGGCGGGTTCCGGGAGGGCGGGCCGGGCAGCTCCGGGGCCTTGCAGACCGAGCAGACAGAGCAGACTGACGGGTAGCTGGCTGCCCAGCAGGTCTCACCCCGCGGTCCCGCACATCGTTGGACTCGGGGAAAACCTGCTCTCGTCATTCACAGGGCCGGCCGCCGAGGCTTAGGGGACCCCCGAGCGCCCGCCTGAACTTGCCACTCACGTGCTGGAGCCAGGCGCAAGGTCTTCCCAGGTCAAGACCTGCCCAACCAAGACAGCTCTGTTTTACTTAAGTAGTTCCTTAAGCACTCTGAGAGCACCCACCTCCCATCATACCATCTGGGTTTGGATTACCAAAATCCACCCCCTGCTGGCAGCCCTGTAATTCCAGAGAAGCCTTGAATGTATCATCCCTTTAGAATGGCAGTTTCAGACTCAGACCCTCCTAACCTGTAATTGTGTATAAACGTGGGCTGTGGGCTAATCTTTGAACCTCTCTGAGACTCAGATTCCTCATCTACAACCTGGACATAAGAATAGCTACCTCTCAGAGAAGTGGGAAGGGTTATGAGCAAGTACATGGAAAAGTAATGGATGGTGGCCATCATCATCCCAGCTGAGGGAACCTTTAATTTTAGTAAATTTGAGGCAATACAGAGTTGAAATAAGGAAGCCTTCGGTGTGTTAAGAAGGAATGTTTGAAAGAAGAAAGAGAGAAAGACAAAGAATATTTTTGGAAAAAGCAAACAGGGCCCATTTTTTCAGATTCTGTTACAACTGAATTTTGGGTTTTAAGCTAGAACTATCTCAGTTCTTTAAAAAGTTCTGCTTTTAAAATCTGTAATAAGTCTAAGTTGATTAAAAAGTTTTAAGGGTAAGTATTTTTATAAGTTTGTTATATTTGTAATTATCAATGATTCAATAATAAAATTAACTAGATGTCTGGTGTATGAAATTCATGCACAGGTAGGGTCCCAAGGCCTGGCTAGCAATAGGGATGATCAGGTTCCCTGCCTCCCTGCCTCCCTGCCTTCCAGTCTAAAGGTCACACTCCCAAGGAGACAATTTACATATTAGCCTTTTTTTATATAGAATTTTCAGGTCACTTTTTAAAAAGTTTTGTTAAGGTATAGTTGACATACAATAACTACACATTTAAAGTATACAAATCAAAGTATTGACACATATATAATCCATAAAACCATGGCTATAATCAAAGTAGTGAATGTGTCTACCATCCCCAAAAGTTTCCTTAAACCCCTTAGTAATCTTCCTGCTTCTCCCCCAACTGCTGATCTGTATTTTGTCATAACAAATTTGTTTACACTGCCTAGAGTTTTATATAAATGGAATAATACAGTATTTACAATTTTTGTCTGCTTTTTCACTCACCATAATTATTTTGATATTTATCTAGGTTGTTGGGTGTATAAATAGTTAATCCCTTTATGGCTTAGCAGTATTCTATTATGTGGCTGGCTATACCACTATTTATTTGTCCATTCACATGTTGATGTTCACTTGGGCTGTTTCCCATTTGGAGATATTACAATGAAACTGCTATAACTGTATGTATACAAGTAAGTCTCTGTATGGACATATGCTTTATTTATTGTAGAAAAGTACCTAGAAGTAGAATGGTTGTATCACATGGTAGTTATATTATACATGTAACTTTTCAAGAACTGTTTCTAAGGAACCTCAGTTCACATTTCACATCATACACAAAAGCAAATTCAAATGACTTATAGACCTAAACATAAAACCTAAGACTACAAAACTTCTAGAAGAAAACTTTTGTGGCCTTTAGAAAAATATTTCATAGGTAAAACACCAAAAGCATGATCCATAAAAGAATAAATTTATAAATTGAACTAATGGAGCAGGTGATCTCATCCACACCTCAATTCTAATATCCTTAATGCTTTTTCCTCTAGAAAACAGACACAATTTGTAAAATGTAGAGTTTATATCTTAAGAATCTTGAAGAACTGTCTGGGAAAACTAAATAGCTAATACCCTATTGCCTCACTCTCCTCCCCCGCATTTACCCAGCACAGTTGAGTCATGCTCTATGCTCCCATGTCTGGGCTCTGAGCACTGCTGGGAAAACCACATGACTCAGTCATGCCACCCAATATCACCTGCCCCTAACACACTGTCCTAAAGTCCCTAGATTTTGCCCTCTCTCATTTACCTTGAGGACTATTCTCTTCAAGCCCTACCCAAGATCAAGTTCAGCAGATGACCCTGCTTCTGATTCTACAAGGATAATAGAGACTATCAGGCTCGATTTCCACAATTCCTTGTACCTCTACTCAAATCCTCATCTTCATCTTAGCCTATAGGACTCTCTTTCACGGCCCGCGTAGAAAGAGTTCCAATTCAGGGTTCAGCTTCTGGAGAAGGGCCGCACACAAATGAAAAGAGACTTGAAGAAATTCAATTTGCCGATATGGGGGGCCAGGCGGTAGTCCAACTCTAGTGGGAGAACTACTACTGCTCTGGCCCTGCCATCCCCTTTTATTTAGGCTTTGGGGAAAACATCTTAAGCAACATAAACAGAAATTTACATGTAGCCCCTGGGAAGGAAATTACAGAAACTTACACAGGACAAATAAGGTAGATTCTGCTTCAGCTAACATAATCTCAACTAAAGGTTAGAGCAATTAAGGTTGTTGACCAGCCTTCCTGGCTTTCTGTCAACATCTCTTTTTCAGTGAAACTGATTTGGTTTCCAGCATTAGCCCATTCTTACTTTCTTTTACTCCTCATTACCATGAAATATATCAAATTTTAATCTATCCACCTCTGCTCTGACCCTATCCTCCATGTCCTCAGGAACCTCACTCCATCAACTGTGGTGGACTCTGAGATGTGCCACCTAGATCTCCCTTTAAGAAGGGACTTGTTATCTCAGCTGCTGGAAATGCTGTTACCAGAAAACTTTCTTCTCTGACCTCCTTTTGAGTGGTGATCACCAACTGGTAATCCACAGGCCACTGGTGGTCCGTGAGGTCCAAAAGGTTAGCGACCACTGCTTTAGAGTATGCACACACTTCCCAGGCAGCCCACATCCAATGACTGATGAAGGAAGCAGAATACAGGCCAGACCATTTTGTCCATTCTGGACAAGTTTGTCAGACCATTTTCACTCTAGAGCTCCTGTGGAGTTAGTGGAAGCTGACTACTAAAGGGTAGTATTCACTTTGCACCATCAGAAGAAATCAAGATGGACTATCAGGAGGCTGAGTGCAGTCATCTCAGTAAAATCTTATGGTCCATTGATCAGTTTCCAGACCTGGAACGCAGGTCCTCTGCAACACCATGACAAGTACACACAGAGTGACCACCCTGCCTTTCTCTAAAGGACCCAATGGCCATTTACTCAGGTAGCAGTACACTAGGGAGAGAGGAAGACACATATTTCAAGAGTCAGAGTTAGAATTGAGCTCTGGAGACGTGAAGTGTCAACATGGTCCTCCTTGGTACAGTGGGAGCATACAGGAACCAGACAAAAAAAAATGAAGTCCCACCAAAGGTCCACTGGATCAGGAGACCCATGTAGAACCATCTGGGGTCATTTTATGGGTCTCTGGATATACCATTGGAATAGACATACTTGAAAGTTGGCACAATCCCTACATTATGTCTTTGGCTCATGGGGTAAGAGCTATCCCAGTGGAGAAAGCCAAGTGGAAGACCATGACATTTTCCCTTCCCTAAACAAGCAATATTGCATATAGAGAAGGATGGTGGAAATTAGTGCCACCTTTGAGGATCCAAAGGATGCATTTGTAGTGATCATATCTCTACTTCACCAGTTAAATCCTGGGAGATTGCAGTGGACTACCATTAACTCAACCAAGAAGCAGTCCTGATGGCAGTGCCATAGCATATGAGGTATCTTGGCTAGAGCAATATGATAAGGCCTCAGGTACATGGATAAGAATTTGGGAAATTAATTCTTTTCTACTGCAAACAAGAAAAAAGGAGAAGAAACAGTTTGCATTTTCTAGTACATGGGATGAACAACAATATTCATTTATAGTTTTGCCCAGGACTATGTTAACTTTTCACACTCTGTCAGAATGTAGACTTGAGAAATCTTGACTATCTAGACATCCTACAGAATGTCACATTGATGCATTACATCATCGTCACCTTGGTTTCACCAATGCCTTGTCTACAGCTCACATCTATGGTTGATTGGAGATCCCATAGAAATAGTTGAAGAATGAGGTAAAAGCCTGAGCTTATTCTTTTGATATGTCAGTATAGAGGTGCAAGCTACAGGTGGATGGCAGCTGCACTGCAGCCTCATTCTGGCAGTGCAGCTGCTTGTCTATTTTGTGTAGACAGGGCAGTAGACCAAGGTTATAGTATTTACAGACCAGTGGGCAGTGGGGAATGACATGGCTAACCTGGTCAGGGGCCTGCAAGGTGAAAGATTAGAAGATGAAGGACAAGGAGGGTGGGGAAGAGGCATGTGGATGGAGTGTCCCCAGGCTGTAAACATCATGGTATCAGTGTTATCACCCAGGAGATAAATTAAGCAACAAAATAGAATGACTCAGTCATTTGATGGTAGGAGCCCCCGACCTGCCACCACCACAGGGATGGCACAATGTGCCGTGAACAGAATAATGAGAATAGCAGAGATGGAGGTTACACAAGGGCCAAAAGCATGGAATTCCACTCCCAAAAGCTGCTGCCACCAAACATCCTATTATACTTACCAACAGAGACCTGAACTCAGCTCTGTTATGGCACCATCCTCAGGGAGAACAACTGGCCACATGGCAGCAAGTTGGTGTTGTCATGATCCTTCCACCCAGAGGGGCCAACAATTTGTTCTAACAGAAATAGAACCATGTTCCAGGTATAGGTTTGCCCTTTCCGTCCATAAAGCTGCAGATGGTGCCATTATCCAAGTGCTTATAGAAGGTGTGGTCCTTCTTCATAGCATTTCACGAAAGAAGCGGGAGAGTGGGCCCAGACCCGT